TTGCATCAAAAGGAGAGGATTATCTCTTATTTGCCAGCTTCGTCCCAAAATGTGGCCAGATAAGTAGAGTCTACTTACTATTCAAATGTTCTATCTTACTAAGAGAGAATAAATGTTGGCCAAAAAAAAAAAAGTTGAGAAATCAAAATGTTCTTCTAAGTAGGCCTCACTGACCATTTTTCATGTATCTGAAATAAAAACACACTGTCTAAATTCTATATATAGAATTTTTTCCAAAGGGAGAAAATCATAATAGTCTGTAGGAAATTTTCCAACATACAAGCTGCATAGAATTCTTCATTTCCTCAAGTTAAAATCTTCACAAACAGAATCTTAAGAAACATTTTAAATATTGAGAAATTCACAGAGTTTTTGATATCTATATATATATAGAAAGACACTCTCCTTGACCAAACAGCTTAATCAAGCTCCTCTGAACCCTCTTCTCCACTAAGCTTCAACCTCTGGCCTTCCATGTTCATCTCTGTACCACACAGTTTTAACAAAAATCCTAAGTCAGCTTTGCATCAATCACCTATCCTCAGTATCTAATCACCCAGCCTGCTTTCAGCAAGAATTCTGTCAAGTTGGTTTTTCACCAGAATCCCTCCTACCCCTGATGTTTCTTCTTAGTAATTTTCCATCCACTCTCCCCCAGCCTGCTCCTTGGCCATAAATCCCCACTTATTCCTGCTTTATTCAGAATTGAGCACATTTCTATACTGAGGTATCTTCTCTGCTACAGAAATGCTCCTGAATAAAATCTGTTTTTACCACGTTAACACATCCAGTTCTGGTTTCTTTGACAATATGAAACTATATACACAGTTTCTACAGATATACACATAGATATACATATAAAGGAGATTATAAAACTTTTTTTCTAAAAGTGAAATAATACTTAAGAGGACAGTGTATCATATCAATTCCCTAGACAGGATAGCGAAACATAATTCCCTACCCCTCTTTGAATTAATATCCTTTGCAATATGACTTTGTAGCTCTTCCCATCAAAAGGTGTAGTCAATTCCCCTATTCTTTGAATCTGGGCTGGCTTTAAGACTTGTTTTGGCCAAAAGCGTCCAACAGAAGTGACACTGTTAAGTTCTAAACCAGTTCTAAGTCTGTACCTCAAAAGTCCTTCCAGTTCTGCTTACCTTGCTTACATCCCCACAACTGTCTTATGAACAAGTCTAGGTTAGCCTGGGGCAGGATAAGAGAGACACAAGGCTCTTTTGCCCCCATTGCCTCAGCCAAGAGCTCATCAACTTCATAAACAAGCTGAAAACATTTCAGTAGGAGGACTGGAAAATAAAGACAGGGCATTTCTTAGAATATACAGCCAAATGAAAAGAAAACATAGGAGAACAAAAGATATAAGAAATGGAAAACAAATCTAAAAGATTCAACATCAGACTAACAGAAGTTCCAGACAGGGAAAATTAAGCAGATATAGGGGAGGAAATAATCAAATAATAGAAGAAAATTTCAGAAAGGTGAAGAAAAATACAAGTCTTTATATTGAAAAGCCCTATATCAGGCACTAATCAGATGAACAAAAATCAGATCCATATCTGGATACATTCTCAAGATTTTTTGACATGAAGTTTATGTGAAAAATATTTTAAAAGCTTCCAGGAAAGTAAGAAATAAGCAGGTATCAGGCTTCTCAGTAGAAACACAAAATGCTAGAAGGCAATGTCCCTTGCCTTCAAAGTTCTGAGGGAAAAATGTTTAGAATTTTGAACTTAAAATTCTATATCCATAGGTCCATCAACTGTAAAGACCAAACAAACATTTTCAGACACATAAGAAACCGAAAATTTGTTACTAAGCAATGTTCTGAAGACATCAAGGATGCTGTTCAGTGAAATGAAGTGAGGGACAAATAAAACATAGGATCTAGGAAATGGAAGATCTAGCCCAGTAACACAGGGAAGAAAACATCCAGAATAACAATCACACAGCAGATCTAGAGAGCAACAAATCCCACACTAAAATAAAAGGCTCTAAAAGGACTGTCTCCAAGAAGAGAGTGCATTCTTAAAACTGAGTGCGACAGAGAAACCACATCATTTTGAGAACCCAATGAAGGTATCTTATTGTCAATCAAAAGAAAAAAAAACAGTACTTCTAAACTCTAGAGGGAAAAAAAAGCCACATATGAAAGTCAAGATTCAATTATAAAGAAAAGTAAAGTATTAGATAATTTTGAGAAATTTATGTAGTAGAAGAAAAATTAAATCTATTTGGCCTTGATCCTAAAAACATTCTCCTTAGGATCATGACTTTGGACACAGAGACAAAGAAATATAATCACAGTATAAACTATTTGGTTCTGTATTACACAATCATAATAAGTTTGACAGTTAAATGTGGTTTACTGGTTTGTTTTTTTTTTTTACTTAAACTTTTTTAGAATAGTTTGATTTATAGAAAAATCACCACAGAGAGTTTCTGTGTACCAGTTTTCCCTATTATTAACATCTTACATTATACGGCACAGTTGTCACAACTAGAGAATGAACACTGGTACTTTAATACTAAATAAACTACACACTTAACTTGGATTTCACCAGTTTATCCCTAATATCCTTTTTCTGTTGCAGACCCCATTCGGGATACCATACCATACTTAGTGATCATGTTTTCTTATCTTTTTCTGGTGACAGTTTCTCAGACCTTATTTTTGATGACCTTAACAGTTTTGAGGAGTATTGGTCAGTTATTTTGTTCATTCTAGCCTCCTCTCCCCCAACCCCCGCCCCGTGCTTCTGTCCAATCTCCCTTTCCAACAGTGAGAAGCCTGGCTCCTATCAGCCACCATACATTCAGGTCTTGGTTCATTCCCAGTATACATGTGTAGCAGTTTCAGAATTGTTAACCTGTACCCCTACAAGAAACAACTTTACCAACCAGAGTACAGTGTTTATGTGTACTTTTATATTCAGTTTTACCACGTCCAGTCAAAGCATTCTTCTCCAAAGTTATTCAAATCAAGCATCTGTTTCCCCATTTCTTCAGTGAGGTTATGTCATACACATTTCTAATACATTTGTTGGATTCTTTTATCAATCTGCATTATATTCTGGGATCCCTCAAATTCCTGACTGATGTTTTAAAATTTGCACACATTAACCTTTTTATGCTGTAAAGTTCTATGGATTTAAAAAAATGCATAGCATCATACATTCACTACAACAGTTTAGTTCATCACCCTAACAACTCCCATGTGCTTGCCCAAGTCAAACACTCCCCCTTCCTCAAGTCCCTGACAACCACTAATCTGCTTTCCATTCCTATAGTTTCACGCTTTCCAGAAGGCCATGTGAATGGAATCATTTAGTATGTAGCCTTTTCAGTCTGGCTTCTTTAACTTAGCAAAATCCACTTAAGACACATCCATGTTGCAGCACTAGTTAATAGTTCATTCCTGCTTTTCATTAATTAATACCCAACAGTATGGCTGTACCATCATTTTTGTTTATCCATTCATCTATAGAAGAAATTGGTTGCTTCCAGTTTGTGATGATTATGAATATAGGTAGCAATTGTGAATAAGGCATATCTAGGCTTTTATGTGAACACACATTTTCAAATCAATTTGGTAAACAACTAGGAGTGCAATTCCTGGGTCATGTGGTAAGTCTATGTTTATTTAACTTTATAAGAAATTGCTAAACTGTTTCCCAAAGTGGCTACACCAATTTGCATTCCCACCAGCAAGCATGAGATCACCAGCATTTGGTCTTACCAGTTTTTTTTTTTTATCTTAACCATTCTAACAAATATACAAATATTGTTGAGTATCTTTTGTTATGGTCATTTGCCATCCATGAATCCTGTTTGAAGTGTCTATTCAGATATTTTGTCCTTTTTTTAAATACTTGGCTGTTTTCTTATTGTTGAAATTTAAAATTTTGTTATACATTCAGGATATACATTCTTTATAAGATACATGATTTGCAAACATTTTCTCCCAGGTATAACCTGCCTTTTCATTGTCTAAAAGTATCTTCTGTACAGCAAAAATATTTAATTTTGAAACATTCCAATTTATCCTTTTTATCTTTCCATAGATCATGAAAGGACTATGTCCAAGAAACAAGTGAGTTCTTATAACCAAGCATAACAGAGAAGCCAAATAATTTTGAGAATATCTTTTTTTTTCTCAATAAGGAAAAAAGTAATTACAAACTCTAGTGGGGTGGGGGAGGGCTCTATAAGAATGTAGTTATCCAATTATGAATAAAATTAAAGTATTATATAATGTGTAAAATATACGGAACAAAAGAAAAGATAACCCATTTGACTTTGATCCTAAAAACCTTGTTGCTTGTGACTTTGGACCCTAAGACAAAGAAATGTAATCAGAGTATACTACTTGGTTCTGCATTGTAATCATAATAAGTTAAATAGTTAAATGTTGTTTATTGATTTTAACTTAAACTGAAAGCATGGAAGAGTTAATTATGATTACAGAATAATTATGATAACACTCATAGCAATTATTCACATAGTATTCAATATGTAGCAGGCCCTGTTTTAAATTCTTTACATATATTAAGTCACTTAATCATCATAATAGTCCTGTGAAATAAGTAACATTATTATCCCCATTTTACAGTTGAGGAAAGTGAGGCACAGAGAGACTAAATAACTTGCCAACTTCATACAGTTAGTATGTGGTAGAGCTTGGATTGAAACCCAGGCGGCCTGGCTCCAACGACTACATTCTTAACTACAATGTTATATTACCTTCTTTAAATCGAATACAAATATCATGAACTTTGATAATTTTAAAGCCAATAGATATTTGACAGGAGTTTAAAAGGCAGAGAAAAAGGTGAAAGAGTTGAAGTAAAGGATTTAAGTGATAATACCCTTATTTTATTAAAAAGGAAACAAGAGGTACTGCTAAAAGTTAATGGAAAATGAAAGAAAGGCTTAGGTATACTGGAGTAGCAAAGACAGAGGAAATAACATCAATAACACATAACCATACAAAATTTGAAGGAGAGTAGAGTAGCACAAGAGTAGCATAAATAAACTAAATCCTCAGTTTTCATGGCAGGTCATCAATAGTTATTGCCTTAGTTGATGAATCAAGAAATAGCGGTGTATTATTTTAAATTACAGAGGCACCTATTAGAAGACAAAAAGAAATAGTTAAAATTTGCGCGCAGTATTTCAGATAGGCTAGTATAGTACAGCAGTTAAAAATAAAAGCTCTGGATCAAAACCTCCTGGGATCAAACCCCCATCCTCCACTTAGTATTAATTGTGCTATTAAAGAAACTTATGTGGTCTTCTTTTCCTCAATTTCCTTATCTAAAAATGGCTATATGCTGAAATGGATAATTCACATGATGTCATGAGGATTAAGAGAGTTAACACATGTAGAGCATTAGAACTGTGACTGGCCCACAGAGGGTAAGCCCTAAATCAACGTTAGCCATCAGCTATGAATTAGAGGGAAGAAAACATACACACACACAAGTTTACATTTAGTTCCCGACTTACTTGGCCAAGGATCCAAAATCTTATCAGCAGTGAGGCTGCCAACAAGAGCAAGGATAGATGTAGCATATCACATCATAGCTTCCATTAGCCTCTAGAGTCATGCACTACCAGTGAGAAGACAAGGTAGGGCCCTGTGATATTTGGCAAGCTCGATTGCTATGGTTCCACTTCTCTTTTATGCTTAGGGCTTACATCACCATTTTGGGAAGAACAGGCTCTAACTAGCTATGCCCTTTAATGGGAAGAAATTACAAACAGCTGGGTTCCTGCTGGTTCTTGAGCCAAACCGACTACCAAAAAGGCCACAACTTTATCTAATGGGAGAAAGCAGAATCAATGCCCAGATGTTCCTGAACAGCCTTGCTTCCTTCAAGTTTCCAGTGTTTGGAAAGACTTGTTTTTCCAAAGATATCCCCTGAGGAGCAGAACTGGGGTTCTGATCACTATAGAAGACATTAAAAATCATGGTCCCACAGAAAATAAAATTATGGTTACTACAGGGGAAGGGGGGGTTAAATTGGGAGTTTGGGACTGGCAGATGCAAACTACTATGTACAGAACATATAAACAAGGTCCTGTTGTGTGTGGCACAGGGAACTAGATTCAATGGCTTGCACTAATTTATAATGAAAAAGAACATGTATATGTATATATGCATATATAACTGAATCACTATACTGTACACCAGAAACTAATACAACATTGTAAATCAACTATACTTCAGTTTTTTAAAATAGGGAGAAAAAAATCATGGTCCCTGTCATAAATCTCATTAGCTCACTGGGGAAAAAAAAAGGACACAAAAATATGATGAACTGCACAATACAGACAAGATAAGGGGGATGGGTAGAATAAAGATGCAGACTTTCACAAAAGGATATAGAATAATTGGTGTTGGAAAAAGAAATAGATCATTCTGTGGTAATAAGGTAAAGCTGCTTGGAAAAAGATGGATTTAAGTTGGGGAAAAAGAAGAAAACATTCTAAGGGAAATGATGAGCAAAAATAGGAAGGCAGCAATACAAAAGGAGATCTTATGCAACATATGTACTCCAGTGTGACTGACATGAGATTTTTATGAGACTGTGAAACTTGGAGCCTTTGAGAGTATGTACTAAGCAGAAATGTGGGGCAAAGTATTTTAACAAGTTTTATCTCTTCTTTCTATATTCATTTACCAGATGACTCAGTCTCATAGTTTTAAATATTACCTCAATACTGATGACTCTCGGACCTCCTTCCTGAACTTCAGTCTAATACACCCACGTGAACCTAGACAGTCTTGCTCTGCTTGGATGTCAAGCAGGGATCACAAATTCAGCACATCCAAAGCTTAACTCCTGAAAACCCACTACCACACCTGCTCCTCTCAGAGGTACCTGTATCTCAGTTAATGGCAACTCTATTCTTTAGCTGCTCAGGCCAAAGACCTTCAAATAATCCCTGACTTTTCTTTCTCCCTCATGCTGCACATCCAATCCACCAGAAAATTCTGTTGGCTCTACTTCAACTATATCACAAAACTCTCACGACTCCCACTGCTGTCACTGAGGTCTGAGCCACTATTACCTCTGACCAGGATTTGTGTCAAAGCTGCTAACTAATCTCCCCACTTCCTCTCTCGCCTCATTTAGAGTTGCCACAGTGATTCTGTTAGCATGTAAGCCAGATCATGCCACTTGTAAGTTCAAAATCCTCCCAAGGCTAGACATTTCATTCAGAGAAAAAAACCACACTCCTAATTGTGTCCTACAAGGCCCTGCTCAGTCTGTATTCTTCCACTCCATACCTCTCCTACTACCCACCTTCCAGCTCACTCTATTCCTCCCCAATATTCAAACATGCCAGGCACATTTGCACCTGAGGTCCTTTGCATTGGCTGTTCCCTTTGGCTGGACCCTCTTTTCCCAGCTATTCACTGCCCTCTCCACTCACTTCCTTCAAGTCTTTACTCAAATGCCACCTTTACAGGAGGGCCTTCCTGGCCACATTATACAAAATGTCAACCTTTCACCCTTAATACTCCCTATCTCCCCTCTTCATTTATTTTTTTCTCCTTTGCAGTTATCACCATCTAACACATTATGTATTTTGCTACTCTGCCATTGCTCTACTCACTAGAACAGAAGCTACCAGAAGCATTGTTTTTACATGATTGTTGATTACTAGACCCTTAGCAGCTTAGAGTCCTTATCACATAAAAAATACTAAATTAGTATTTGTTAAATGAAAGAACTTGGTAATGCTGTCGAAATACATTAGAAGGAGAAGAAATTATAGTTAGAATACCATATTTTCAAAAGCATTTGTTGAGTACCAACTATGATGCAAGGCTTCTGGGGATACAAAGATGAAAAAGACAAAAGTGAGACATAATTAACTAATCCGAAATAGATATTCACAACTTTCATGTGAGAGTTACAAAAAGCAGTGGTATAAGGACTTAAGAGAAAATTCTGTTGATAGGGGACCACTGCAGTAACCTAGGCACCAGCTATCAGGCCCCTGGAGAGGGTGTAATAAAAATGGAAACGATCACGTGATTATGATCATTATAACCGATAGAAATAGCTGGTAGGAGTTGGTGACTAGTTAAATTGGGACATGAAGAGCAGACTACCGCTAAGTGTCACACTTAGATAGTGACAAGAATAGTAGTGCCACTTTAAACAAAGAGAAAAGAGGACGGGTTTAAAGTGGATGGAAAAATGTTAAGTCCAACATTAGACAGTTTGTTTGAGGTAATACCAGACCATGTAAGAGACATTTTCAGAAAAGTCCTAGATTAAGAACTGTGACTGAAGTTAATATAGTTGACCCTTGAACAACACGGGGGTTGGGGTGCAAACCCGCCACCCAGTCACAGACTTGTGTATAATTTCATAGTTGGCCCTCTTCTATCTGTGGTTCTGCACCTGCAGATTTAAACAACCACAGATTGTGTAGTACTGTAGTATTTCCTATTGAAAAAAATCCACATATATGTGGATCCACGCAGTTCAAACATATGTTGTTCAAGGGTAAACTGGATAGACTTAGGGGTTATTTTCTTACAGAGATAACTGAACTGAAAAAGGTGAGATTTCTAAGCAAAAGTCTAAAAGCAAAAGCTATGAGAATTAGGTAACCTTACAGGGCAGGGGAAAGAAAAGGTGCAAGTGAACATAACAAAGAAAAGGAAAAAGAGAGAAAGAAAGAAAATCAGGACATCTCAAATATAGATATAGATATAGGTATTTTATATATACATAAAATTTCTCCCAGCTTTAAAAAAAGCCAAGCTACCATCCACTTTCACATTTAACAATTTTGCAAATATGTTCATTTAGGTACTAAAAATCTCAGGTGAAATCAAAGCAGTATTTCAGCTCAATCTTAACTTAGAATTATCACACTTGTATAAATATAAGGAATTTTCCTGGAATCTCTGAAGCTAAAAAACAGCTTGTGTACTTTTGCACATTTAATGGATTGGAGCATGGATGTAAAATAAAGAATATGATGCAACAAGGCTCTGTCACCCAGGAAACCACCTAATGGCAAACTGCTCAGTCTTCTTTATACACGTAATTCAACACTGCTCAGCAACTGGCCCAGTTCCAACTCATTTATAACAACAGCAAACAAGACAAGTAAGAAAACACAAAAATAGGTAAATTTAAAATAATTAGTTCAGGGTAGAGAAGGGACATGAGGAATGACTGTTTAATGGGTATAGAGTTTTAGTTTAGAAAAATGAAGACATTCTAGAGATGGATGGTGGTAACAGTGACACACAATGTGGATGTACTTAATGCCATTGAACTGTATGCTTAAAATGGTAACTTTTATGTTATATATATTTTACCACAATAAAAAAATAACTAGTTCAGCTCATATTTTGTGCTATAAACTAAATGTTAATTCTCCAGGAGCAATGTTTACATCAATATTCTTTTTAATCCTAAGTCTCTGAATTTATTTAACTACAATTCAGTAACGAGGAAGCAAAGCTTTGGTCCAAGATGAAACTGACAAAGAAAACAGAGAACAAGGTGAAAACAAGTTTGGTTTCTTTTAAGTTTAAAATCATTTTTATCAGATTGGATCTAAATCAAGATGGCTGACAGAGTAGGAAGACCCTGAGCTCACCTCCTCCCATGGACACACCCAAACTACAACCACATGTAGAACAACTGTCTCTGAAAACAACTTGAAGACCAGCAGAACAGATTTTCTACAATTAAGGATACAAAGAAAAGGCCACATCAAGGTGGGCCGGAGGGGCAGAGAACCCACACCCCAACCCACAACTAGGAGGGATATCACAACTGCAGAGGTCCCCACTGAGTGAGGGATCTGAGCCCCACATCAGGTTCCCCAGCCAGGAGGATCAGCACCGGGAAGACAAGCCCCCATGAGACGGATGGACGTAGAGTATTACGCTAAGTGAAATAAGTCAGAGAAACACAAATACCATGATTTCACTTATACATATCAGGACATAATGTTCCCCACAGGGAATACAGTTGATAATACTGTAATAAATTCATATGGTATATCTAGTTAATAAACTTATAGTGTTGATCAATTTGTAATGTATATAAATGTCAAATCAGTATGTTGTACACCTAAAACAACAATAATAATTGTACATCAATTACACTTCAATTTAAAAAATAATAAATAGATAATTTAAAAGAACCAACCCAAATTACAAAAGTAGGAAAATACAAAATGAAAAAAGTCCTTGCTGAAATTAGGGAAGAAAGTCAAACACATAACTGCAAACTTGGAGGAAATCCTGAAATTCCTGACAAAGGAACTGTGTGGTAAAGTACAGAAGAATCCCTCCAGATCCCACAAGAGCTGAAGGCAAAGTGAAGGCAGAACAGAAAAAAAAAAAAAAGATGATTTTAACTAAGACTGTTTTTAACAGTATGGCAAAACAAAGCTACAGACAACTATGTGTGGATGGTATCTGCTAGGCCAGAACACGTAGGGAAACAGACACATAGTACGGAGAGTAGAATTTTTTCATTGATATTTTTAATTGACATTTTCATCATTGTGTTTACTGTGTTCATTCAAAATCAGAGCTGGTAAGCAACTTCCATGGCTGGAAGATCACCAACTGAATGGGATATTGCACTCCTCCAGTGGGGTAGCATTTTCAATATATCTTCATGGTAGTCCTGAAATATAATTAGACCAGAGTCAAGTAAGATGCTAAAGCTTCTCTTCAGATGCAGCAATTTCTACCAAGAGAACAAGTACAAATTCCCCTACTGAAGCTGTGAGTTCCAAAGCCACCATCTTAGGATTCTGAGTGATTTAAACTATAAAATAAACTAGCCTCAAACACCCCAGGTTCATGTGCAGAATTATTCCCACAAATTTCATATATTGAAATCCTAACTCTCAGAACCTCAGAATGTGACTATATGTAGCTAAATATAGGGTACATTAAATACGTGATTATGGTTAAATGAGGTCATTAAGGTGGCCCAAATCCAGTATCACTGATGTCCATATAAGGAGATTAGGACGCAGACACACAGAAGAAAGACCATATGAAAAAAGAAAGAGAAGAAGGACATCAATTCAAGGAGAGGTGCCTCAAAGGAAATCACTTTGAAGATACCTTAATCTCAGACTTCTGGCTTCCAGAACTGTGAGA